TATTTCACAATTAAAACTTTTAATCAAATTTTAAATTCCAAAACTTGAGGGTAAATTTTGAAACTTTTCAAAACTTCTAGATCAAATTTAAAACAATTAAATTAATCATATAATTTTATCATTATCATAAATATGATCTAATCCAATTTAATTGATAAGAAAATTCAAATCAAAATTTACAAATAATTAATTTAACACATAATCTTGTAATTATCTTAAAATTTGACAATTATCTTTTAACTAGATGAGGATATCCATTACCATATTACAAAATTCGAATTTAATCAGTAAAAACAAATTACGGTAATTATCCAAATCTAATTTAGGCAAAAAAATCTGAAAATCCTGCCACCAAACGAACCAACTCATCAAGTTGGTCCAACTCGTTGAGTCCAACTGTCAGATGCCAAAATTGAAACCTTTTTCAGCTTTGAAAACATTACAATTGCATCATACAACAGAAAAACACCCTAAGCTCTGATATCACTGATGGGTTCTATGCATAACAACAATCCTATGGTGCACATACAACCCTAATTGTTTTGGATATAGGTTTTTCTCAAGTTATACATGCAAATTTTTATTCCAAAGCAAGAACCCTAATCTAGCATTCATAAGAACGAAATTCTAATTCAAATTAGGGTTAGAACAATACATTTCTTGTTAGTAGCTTATCTTGACCTTCAAGAGCCTAGTGTCTTAAATGTTGCACCTCTAATGGAGTCACAAACACCACTAGCAACAAGGAAGAACAAGAGAGAGAGGAGGAGGCTTTAGATTTCGGCCAGGGTTCTCCAAGAAAGCATAGGGGAGAAAACTTGAAGCTAAGGGTTACTTATATAATTGAGTTGCTAGGGTTTTAGGTGGAAACCCTAATTCTCTGCTTAGGCCTTAAGCAATCCACTAACCCTTCTAGAAAGCCCCTTACACAAATCTATATGGGCTTCCCATAGATTTCGTCCATTCCTTCTATTAGGAGTCCACAACCCAACTTGAAACTATCAGTTAATTGTAATATCAGTCCCCTTAATTTAATCAGTCTCTTTTGATCACTAATTTAATTCCAAATTAAGTTCTGATCAATACTAATTAAATAATATGATTTCTCAATTAATATATTATTCTTATAATATATTAATAAATCACTTATCAACCTCTTTCTCTATAATTCACCTATCGGTTGCTATAGTGAATGCAACCCAAAATGACCATGCTACTATTAGATCAAGTACATCCTAATTATAGTTATGGGCTTAGACACCTAATCCAACAAGATCATCTTCAGAAGGAAAACTATTTCCAAAAGGATGAGGAAGACCATAGTTGTCAAAACTTGACATCTATAAAGGGAGAAAATAATTCAACTTAGTTAAGGCTAGGATCCATACTTTCGATTCGAATTCTGAAAAGGGATGTCGTAATCAAATTCGAATCTATTTTAGGTAGGTAAGCAATTACCAGTTTCAATCAAATGAAACTTCTAGATCTTTTGAGATTCATTGAACTATTCAATGGCATGTTTAATCTCGATTATGCTCTCACTTTGTGACTGGGATGCCGAGGATCACAAACGAGATGTGAATAACCATGCAAATTAGCTTGATACTCTCGATGTCATTTATCACCTAATCAATGTGTCGGTTAAGCACATACGCTCCATTGATCAATGATAATTTACGAGACACCCATTGCTAACAATATTAGTCCATATTAGTGTGTCGGTTAACCACACACGCTCCACTAATGACCAATAAGGTGCAATGTGCAATTTCATGGGTTAGCATCAAATTCACATTTTTCCTAAAGTAACTAAGAATAGGATTTTAGAAAAAGTTTAGTTACTTTATGTCATTATACTTTTAATGAGAGTTTAGTGTCCTATCCTACCAGTTCGGCTAACGATCATCCACTAGTCAAAGGTGTGGTGGGTAAGAATGGATACCCAATGACGGTCATTTTACAGGCCACTTCCTTAAACACCATTTGTAGACCAGCTTCGTGAATGAAACCTACTAATGGTAAGCCTGATCTTTTCTTTATATATATATATATATATATATATATATATATATATATATATATATATATATATATATATATATATATTAAGCTTTTAATTCTATAATAGTATAAGGGTGTATTTTAAACTTTTAGAATATTAGGCTTCTAAAATTTAAGGTTTCAAAATTAAACTATCTAATTAAATTTTAAATTATAAAACCATAAGGGTGTATTTTGAAACTCTTCAAAATACTCAGTTAAATGGTAAATTAACAAAATAATTTTTATCTTTGTCCAACATTTAACCAAATCATGTATTTTGATAAGGATATATCATTACCTTTTTCGAAAATTCAATTTTAGGCAATAAAAACGAATTTAGGTAATTATCCCAATCAAACCAAGATATGAAAATCAAAAAACCAAGGATCTGACAGGTCAACTCGTCAAGTAGGGCCAACTCATCGAGTTCTAGGCACTGCACTCGTCGAGTAGGGCTAACTCGTCGAGTTCCAAACGTGAACTCGTCAAGTTTGATGAATATATTGACGAATCTGCTCCCTCCTCCTTTGGACAATTCACAATGGCATCAAATTCAAGTGAAAAACATCTTAGCTCTGATACCACTGATGGGTTATGGGCATAACTACATCCTATGTGATCATGCAACCCTAATTGCTTTGGATCTAAGTTTTTCACTAGTTTAACATGTAAATTGAATACCAAAGCTAAATCCTAGATCTAGCATATAATTTTCGAAATTTACATAATAAAAGGGTTTTGATGATTACCTTACTTGTTATGTAGTAATAACAAGAGCACCTTGTAGATCCTTGACTCTTGAAAGTAAGTGCCCCAAATGTTGCACCTCTAATGGCTCACAAACACTCTTTGCAAGAGGATGAGAAGAGAGAGAGAAGGGAATGCCTTTAGAAAATCAGTTCTTCTAGGGTTAGAAATCTTAGGCCGAAAAACCAAAGGGTTACATCCGTTTTATACATGAGGTGGCTTAGTCCCAAAGCTAGGGTTTGTAGGTGGAAACCCTAATTCCCTGCTTAAGGCCTAAGCAGCCCATGGACTCCTCTTTGGAAGGCCTTGGACGAAAATCTTATAGGAGCACCCTATAATTTTTGTCCACTCCTATCCAAGGAGTCTAAGAGCCCAGTTTCACAACTATCAATGATTTGCAAAACAACCCTTGTACTTTTAATTAATTCCTTTAATCCCAAAATTAATTTCTAATTAAATATTAATTAAACAACATGATTTCCAATTAATATATTATTTTCATAATACAATAATAAATCAATCTATTATTCCAAATAATAAATTCAACCTCTCTCTCCAAAAGTCATCTTGTCAAGTTGCTAGAGTGAAGGCAATCCAAAAGGACCATGTTACTATCAAATCAAGTGCATACCAATTATAGTTATGGACTTGGACACCTAATCCAACAGTTTCAATAGCACTCTTCCACCAAACAACAAGACAAGTTCACAACCACCTTTATTGTCTTCTGTCACCTGCAAAACGAATTGAATCAAATCCACCCGCTTTGATGTATTCCCATCCATTTACCACGCACCTCTGATTAGTTTCTCACAAGCCCGTTTAAGATAAATCGGCGCTATTTGTAATCAACCTCGAATCACATCCCCTTTAACGTAACTGTGCTTTGATACCAAGTGTTGACAAAAACTTAATAATAAACCTTGTGCACCAAGGTAAAAGAAAGAATCCAAGGAATCTTGCAGGGATTAATTCCTTGATTCTCTTGAGAATATGCATGAAGCATAAAACATAAATAAACTTAATGTGATTTTTATTGAATTAAAAAAAATTGGACCTAGACATCTCCCTATTCTAATAAAAAAATAGTTTTATTCTCTTTTTGTCATATGTCATCCTATTAGGCCTCCTAATTAATGCATATTTTATTCTTCTTTTTTCATGTGTCACCCTATTAGTCCTCCTAACTAATGCACGTCACTTGCCAACCTGTTGATTCTCCATTCAAATTTCAAATTTCAAATTTCAAATTTCTCACTCTAATTACATTAAATTAATAACATTAGAATAAAAATTAAAATAAAATTAATACAAATTATAAGGTGATATAATTTCACTTGTTTATTTAAATCAACGATTATAATTTTATATAATTAAAAAATATTTCTTAATTAATAATTTATTTAAAATAATTTATGTAAAATAATTGATTAATAATTTTGAGTTTTTACTATAAAGTTTAATTAATTTTATAACCGTGGTTCCCACATGTTATAAACTAGTTTATACTAAAAAAAAAAAATAGAATCCTATTCCAATACCAAAACTAAAACTAGATATATAACAAATCTTGTAATAAGGAAAGTTTCCTATTAACCGATTAATAACATGGTGTAGGTTCGTTGGGATGGGGCGTGTGTATTTATATATTTTAGTGTGGGTGGGTTGAGGTCAAGTGTGTGTATTTATATATTTTAGAAAGTTTTTCCAAATAGTAGAGTATGGGAAACAGTGTTGAAATAGGATTTGCTGATAATCAAATTCATTGACGTCTTAGTAGATTGTGTTATAATCACTTCTTTTATGCATGGTTTATCATGGACTTGAATACAAAATACCCTACTAGAGACACTTCCACCATGAAACTCGTTTTCAATTTACATGTGAAGTTTTAATAAACAGTCATACTTTCAAAAAGAAAAAAAGAAAACATTTTTTTTTTGTTTCATAAAGCCTAATAATTAGTTTACCTACAAAGGTTTGAAAGGAAACTCACTTAACAACAACGTAAAATTTAACACTCATTTCAAAATAAAAGAGAAATCATAGATAAAGTACATAAAGTAAAAGATCATTAATAAAATCTAAGCTAAACACTCTGCAAGAGCTGAAGTGTAAAATGCAAAGTACACATAGATAAGACATGACCATAATATCTATATGAACATGAACATGCAAATTTCCAGCAAATATTTGTTTGGTCTGAAAATGAATTCAGACAGATTTTGCTGAAAAAAAAAAAGCATTGATCTCAATCATCATCTTCATCATCATCCTCATCATCTTCATCATCATCACCACCTTCCTGTAATTATTACAATGCAAAAATTAAAAACCAATATTTGTTTATTGTAGTCAATTGTCTATTTTACTAAAAACATTAACAATACCTGTCCACTTTCCTCATCTACTTCAGACTTTGACTTTTCAGATTCTTCATCATCATCAGCAATGCTATCCTGTTGATTTATACATAAATCTTTGTAAATAAACAAGTCATGATGTTTGTTGTTAATTTGTTATTAATTAACATGAAAATAATACCTGCTTCTTGTTGTATGCAGTCATTAGTTTCTCATAATCAATCTTCCTTTTTGCAGCTTTGGCCTCATATGGTGCTTTTTCCTGATAAGATTAGATAAAGAATAACTAAGTTCCATTATATTATTTGAGTAAACTTTATAGTATAAAAAAGTTATTTTCCACAAAGACAAAAAACTTACAGCTGCAGTAAGGGATTTCCACTTCTCTCCCCCAGCTTTCCCAACCTGTATAAACAGAAAGATAAATAAAATGGAAAAATAAAAAAGTAAAAAGTAAAAAAAACAAACAGCAAGATAATGTAACAAGGATTGTGTAGTACTTACAGCTGAAACAGCTTTCACATCAGGGTTTTCTTTCTTGAATGTCTTTCGGAATTCCTCACTGTAAATGTTATATGATCAATATCAGTAGGAATATAAGTGTAAAGTTCATTTCAAACAATCAAAAAATGTTTTTTTTTAATGAATACACATACAGGAAGACAAAGAAAGCACTTGGAGGTCTCTTTGGCTTGTTGGGATCTTTAGCTGCTTTCGCAGTCTTGGCTTTGCTTTTGCCAACAGCCTTAGCAGGAGGTGCCTTTCTCTTCCCTACTTTTCTGAAAGATTGAAAAGAGTACATCAATTATCAAAGATAATTAGGTATTTGGGAAATTAACTTCATAGAAAAACATGTTGGCTTTTTGCTTTAGAACAATAATTTGAGCATGAAATTAAGAGTGATCTTAACTTGTCATCAACAGGCTTCAAGGTGTCCCTCTTTGCTGCCCCTTTACCCTTGGCACCCTTCATATCTATAAAGCATCAAAGAGTTTATAAACAAAATCTTGAGAAAGATGTATGTTAGGAAAGTGATTTGAGATTATAAATTTGATAATCGACATTGCATTAGTCCACTTGAAAGAAAAATTGTCTCATTGTTAGTCAAATTTCTAAAATAACATTTGATCTGATGGACCTGAAGCATAATGAGATGGAAATTATGCACTTGCGTTATGTTATTCCAAAGCAAATTGAAGAAGGAATAAGCATAAGTAAAAGCACTAAAAGATAACATGAAGGGTATCAACCTCTCTCGTAAAAAAACAAATCGAATCGCTTCTAGAAAATAGCTACAGAAACCCTAATTCAATTCGTTGGAGGAAAGAAAATATGAAATTCAAAATCTGAAGTTCAAAAAAACTGAAACATAAACAACAAGACAGAACAAGGAAAATCAGCAGATATCGGACCAAAAGCGGAGAAATTCACAAACTTCGAAGCGATTAATACGATAATTAAGCACAAATTGTTCGATTTGAAAAACATTTAAATGAAAATATCACAAACAGAAACAACGAACGATAACAAAAACAGCAAAAATCAAACAAAAAACGGAGCAATTCACCAGCTTCGAAGTGAATAATACAGTAACTAGTCGCAAATTGTTCAATTCAAAAGACAATTAAACTCAAATTCACAAAATAAAAAATTGAAGAACAGATCTGAAGAAGGAGATACCTAGAGCGAGAAGTGAGAAACGATCTGTGATCGGTGAAGTGGAAGAGAACAGAAGTGCGAGGAAGGGGCAGAGAACCGGGAGAATGAAGAAGACTTTTACGAAGAGTGACCGGACAAGCCGGTTGACTTGTTCCCGAATATGTCGCAACGGCTCAATAAAGATCTTCCAAAAGAATACAGGTTACCGGGTGTAGCCGGTTTCGGACAAAAGTAAAGGAATCAGTAATCAGTGGTACAAGAATGATGTTTTTGCATATTGGACCCTCATGTTTATACAAGTTTGCATTTTGACCTCCTATTTATAGATTTCAACTAGCTGTGAAACCGTATGTTATACGGGTTGGATAAAATAAAAATGTGAAACTCGTATCTTATACAGGTTGGATAAAACAAAAAAATTAAACACGAAGGTTTAAACAAAAATTTATTTAAATTTTAAATTTGAATTATATAGAATTACATTGAATTTTTTATTCTTACGATTTTGGATTGAATCGTACGATTTATAATGCTCTTCTTCAATGGTCTTCTTCTCCATTTCTTTTTTTGGGGTTTTTTCTTTACTATGTCTCCTTCTTCTCTAATTTCATACATTTACTCTGTTCTTATTACCTATTATTATTATATTCCTGTTGAGATGTCATAAAAAAAATTAATCAATCTACTAGAGGAAAGATACGTGCTTACATTTTGAATTTGTATTGCCCTCCAGAAACCAATCGTAGTCACATAGACCATTCTCACATATCTTAATAGGTCTTAGCATTCTCCCAAATTCTGCTACAAGAAGTCATGGATGTACTTCTTGAATCAATTTTCTAAACTGAAATTCATTTGTTAGTTAGATGCAGTGATCAAAATGCAAGATTTATAAAAGTTCATTATTATTTATTAGTGTTAACTTTTGGCAAATTATGAAAATAATATATATATTTTGTTAATAACAAGGCTTTTTTGTAATAATTTATTTGATCAGAGAATATGTATATCTGATTAGGTGTAGTCTGAAAAATCATATTTTATTCTTATAAGGAAAAGATACTTTAGAAATTGACCAAATTACAATGTCTGAGTTTGATGTTTATAGCTATGACAATACGCTTTAATTGTAATGTTTATCAAATTTCTTTACAGAATTTAACGTTGTTGGTATATATAACAATTTATTGTTGCTTTTGGTTTTACATGACCAATATGAAAAGTGTCATATGAGCCTCCATGGGGGTTTGTATACCGAACAAAATTAATTCATAAAGCTACTAAACAACATGTTTTAATCAATGAGTCGCATCATGTTGTGATAAAACAAATATCACGTGAATCATTTATGTTAAAAATTACTGTATTAAAACACCAAATTGCTCTAATATAAATATTAAATATTTTTATTTAATAAGTTTGGTTCAAAAATTCAAAATGAATCTAAGTAACATTTTTTATTAAAATTTCACCTAAAACAATATCATCTATTAATGTGATGTATATTTAATTTATATTCTCCGCATTTAACGCGAGTCATAATCTAATTAAATACTATATGAGTTGTAATATTGTAATTTATTGGTTATTTTCAATTAAAGCAACTATTATTAAGGTATAAATATGATGTGTTAATTAAGAAAAGATAAAAAAAAATGAAAAAAATGACAAATGGAAAAAACATTTATTCAAAAATACCAAAAAATTAACATGTGTTGCGTCAAAATTATTTTTATTTATTAGGTAGGATTTTCAATCCACTAACTCTTCAAATGCGAGATTTGTGTTTTTGTACGGTTTTACCGGCTTACGTTGCTCCTCGTGATTTACTGGCTTATTTTTTTTGTAGATGTCTTTCTTTTTCTTTTTCTTTTTTTTTCATTTGGGTTGACATTTTTATATACAAAGTTACAAAATATCAAAAAGATCATTTAGTGTGGATTATGTTCTATCTTTCTTCTTTTTTATGTCGGTTATCATATTTAACATATATACATTCTATAAATTTTGACAAAAATGACAATAATGATTTTACCATGGGTCAACCAAGCCGACATATTTTGATCCGTACCAAAAAGTCTTGATTACTTTAAGTTTTAATTTTTAAAGCCACATTACGGCATTACCCATCCATATTCGCATCTCTAGTAATTTTAAGACAAAATCGCTTCTTTGGTCCATAATATCTGAGAGGATCTATAGTTTAAAGGTATTCTCATATCATCATTTTAATATTTTTAACCTTTAAATAAATGGTTTCTAAAATGGTTAAACTCTTCAAATATATATATATATATATATATATATATATATATATATATATATATATATATATATATATATATATATATTTAATTAAGTTATCCTTATCTGTTTAAAATTTTTATATAACCTCCATTTAATTAGTCATTTTTAAACATATATCATATTTAATATAAACTATTCTAATTAATATTATCACTATATTTATATTTCTTAATTAAAATGTCACTAAATATTTGGTAGAGTTAGTTAACTAGTAAACAAATAAATAAATTGAAAGCTAAAATATAAAGAAGGGTTACATTAAAATATGATTAGAAGATGAGAGGATAAAATGTACAAATGGTTAAACTATATTGACCATTCAATATATATTGAGTGGTCAATAAAAATAAGCAAAAAAACCATTTACTCCAATAGGATTAAATGTTCATTATTAATTAGTCAATAGTAATAATTTATAAAAAAAAAATAATGGTTAATATCATTGTAACCTAACCAATTATTCGGTTTTGGTTTAAAAGGTCCCTAATGTATTTTTTTGGTGGTCTAAGTCATTAAACTTATATGTGACCCGTTAATTATACCAACAATCTATTTTTTACCCGGTTTTACCGGTTACACCCACAAATTGAAGCTCATTTTCCTTGTAAATCTCTAATATGAAATCCTTAAGTATCTGAGCTATTGTTATCGCCGTTTACATGGTTGCTGAAACTTTTCATGTTTTTGATGTTGTATGATGCTACATGCTATCTGCCTTCAACCATCGGCTTCACCATCCACTGTCATACACCATCACCACCTGTCGAAAATTCATCACTGGAACTACCATCCAACCACATACACCACCATTCAAGCTTTCTTCGACAACCACCTACTCCAATCGAATCTCCACAGTGAAACACAGCCTACCGAACACCATCTCCCGGCACACCTGCAAACTCAGCCATCTTAATATCACAAACTTCACCATTTTAACCATCAGCTACATTTCATCCTTACACCATCGAGCTTTATACCACCGGGGAAATACCGAGAATAGCTTAAAAGCCACCAATGAGGAGACGAGAGCCACTGATGAGGAGACGAGAGCTATTTGCACCTTTTATCCTCCACGCAATCCCTACAATTTAATGCTTCTCAAGTTGTTACTGTTGCAACCTTCTCCTCTAATTTCACCGATACAATCCAAGTCAATGTTGAATAATACTTTAATGGAGCCACACCCACTCACATGAATATCTTAAAGATGATCCAAACAAACAACTTTTTATAACATCTAATTGAAAATATTATTTGAACCATAGCATCATAAACCATATTTACATGTTCCTTCAAAAAAAAATTAAATGCTTCCATATTATTCCTAGGATAAATGCTTGTGATATTTGGAATTATTTCAAGTTCCGACTCCATGAGTTGTAACATCTCCATTTTGTTGACATTTTGGCACAAACCCGATAGCTTTGGTAGCCCACACAAAGATAAAAACTTCATCTTTATGAACGTTATTGTCCCTTTTCCAGCATTTTCAGTAAAGATGATGAGTTCTGCTACTTCTCGCAGTTATTATCTGTCATGATAATAGATCGTTTATGTATATTCCTATGACTAAGTCGACTTCCATCAGAAAATCACATATACAACTCTTCAAGGTTAGCCAAATTTTTCTCTGACACCTGGTGATGGTAAGGGGGCGAGGAAAACATGTTCATGACTGGGGGATGTTGACGGCGGTTTGTAGGTGCACAAAAAGGTGGCTAATATGATATAAGGGTGTCGGTTCTCGGTAGCTACAGTGAAGCTGATGGTGAGGGATGTTTCTGGTAAAGGTTGTAGTTGTTAGACTTTGCACGAAGATAATAGTGTTCGGCATGTTGTGTTGTGTTTCACTGGGCAGATTCGGATGGACCAGGTGATTATCGAAGGAAGCTTGAATGGTGGTGTAAGGTGATGGGTTTTGGTCATAAGAACATCCTATGTGCTCATACAAATCCTAATGCTTGGATCTAGGTTTCTCTATTGTACATGCAAGTTATCCAAGACTATAAACCCTAATTCTAGCATACAAGTAATCATATTAACATAAGAATGGGTTTAAGACATTACCTTGATTGTTATGTAGCAATAACAATCCCAAATCTCCTTGTATTGACTTTAGAAAGCTTAAAGTCACAAATGTCACTCCTCTAATGGTTCACAAACACCATAAGCAAGAGGATGAAGAGGGGAGAGGATGGAGGCTGCCCAAAACGTGTTCTAACCCTAGAAGAGAAGTTCCCCACGTTTTTGAGCCTTAAGGGTTCTATATATAGTAAGGCTATTAGGGTTATCTAACAAGGAAGCCCTAATTTGGATGCTTAAGCCCTAAGCAACCCATAAACTCCTTTAATTAAGGCCTTGGACGATTTCCTTATGGGCTTCCCCATAGAATTCGTCCACTCCTTAATATAAGACAATCCATGGCCCAAATTGCAATTATCTTATAATTACAATTCTAGTCTCTTAAGTTTAATTAATCTCTTTTAGTCACAAAACTAATTACCAATTAATTATTGACTAATATTAATTAAACAATATGATTTCTCCTTTAATATATTATTCTCATAATATATTAATAAATCATATTTAATATTTTCTCTCCATAATTCATCCTATCAAGTTGCTTTGGTGAAGGCAACCCAAAAGGACCATGCACCATCGGGTCAAGTACATACCAAAATAGTTATGGACTTAGACACTAATCCAACAGTCTCCGACTTGGATAAGTCTAATAACTATTCTGCGTATGACTTCAGATCTTGATCTGCAATTGTAGCTTTCCAAAGCCGCTGTCAACTCTGATCCTATCAGATACGCGTGTCCTTTAGATAAGGGATCATATATTCCTCCATTATAGATATCGTATGAGATATGATTTCGAATCATTCTCTTTGTACTATATCTCGATTTCCGATTTATGACGACTGACTAATTGAACAAATCAAATTAGCCCTAGCCCGGCCGAGCATTTACGTTTGTCATCACTAAACCATCGAGGGGCCCAAAGATATCGTTTTTATCCTACTTGGGATAAAAGGAACGGATAAACTTTGACTCAATGTTCGCTTGCACTCACTCACCGAATCACACACAATAATATGTTTTATGACACAAAGTTACTAGTGTGTTTGCATATTATCAATGTGCAACCGATTTGCAAGATACAACTCACACATCTCGGTTTCAATAATATAAGATGTTATCGTCTCACCAATCACTCGTGATAAAATCCATGAAGTGATCCAAGTGAGTGTGGGTTTGATCCAATGCTCAAATTCATATTCATAAGCACTCATGAACGTTGCAGC